TGCTATTTACATATAAAGAAGAACCATGTGGAAAAAATGTAGTAAAAGTATAAACACACACGTGGGAATGATTCTCACAACCTCAGGACGGTAATTATTTCTAGGCATGGGAAGCGTGGCTTTAGCTATAAAAATTACACATTATTTTTGCTATTTACATATAAAGAAGAACCATGTGGAAAAAATGTAGTAAAAGTATAAACACACACATGGGAATGATTCTCACAACCTCAGGACGGTAATTATTTCTAGGCATGGGAAGCGTGGCTTTAGCTATAAAAATTACACATTATTTATTTAAATATATACAGAGAGACTTCTGAAGCACATACAGCAAAATGTTATCAACTGTTAAATCTAGGTGGTGCGCATATGAATGTCATTTTAATTTCTGTATATTTTAAACTATTGCACAATTTAAAAAAAAATTTAAGAAAAAGATCCATGCGGTAATAGTAGTAAAACGAACATAATTATCTAAGCTTAACAGAATACTTCCCTTATCTCATGTCTTTTTGAAATCATCAACATAGTTTCCTAGCATTTCTAGAGCACATGAAAACCAACAGAGACTCCATTATGTATTTCCTCTTTGTCATGACAATATTCCAGGACCACAGAAGAGGCAGCTTATCGTTACCTTGGTAATTGTGAGCACGATGTCAGTGGATGTTACAAGAGGGTGAGGCTTTCCCATCAGCCTGTAGCCAATCACCTGGGGAAGCACCATGCTGATTGGCTGACCCAGCATGACAGCTTCTGCTTCTATTCCACCCACACCTGCAGTGAACAATGCTTTCATTCTTCTTCACTACAGCATATCCCTCAGGCATAAATTCAGTGTCATTAGCAGGTAATAAATCCAGCTACAATATTTAACTGGTACAGAGTTATGCTTCTATAAAGAACAGTTATTTTTCTCTATTTCCCTCTACAGAATTTTTAACAAGTGTTCCTCAAAGTGTGGTCCCCAAACACCCATATTAACATCCGTGTAGTACCATACCTTATGGGGAGTGGGTTCAAGAGTCTGCATTTTCAACCAACAACCTAAATGGTTTTCATTTATGCTAAATGCCCTTAACTCTTATTCTCCCGGTTCACTCTTCCAAACTAAATAGTGAGTGCCCACTAGGTGTGAGGCGCTTTTCTAGGCACTGGCGATACAGCAGTGGACAAAACAGACAAGAATACCTTCCTAATACTTTGGACATACTGGGATATGATGGCATCAACATAGTGAATTAAGGGGCACGCCCTAGAACAGAAACGGCGAGGAATACTCACCCCAACCAAGAACACCCAAACCGTCAATCATGGTAGTGTGCGAGTCAGTGCCCACGAGGCTGTCTGGGTAATAGTACCCATCCTGATCGAATACCACTCTTGCCAAATATTCCAGGTTCACTTGGTGGATGATTCCTGAGCCAGGGGGAATAATCCTCATGTTGTGAAAGGCCTGGGAGCCCCACTGAGATTGAAAAATGGAAAGAACACCATGAAAACCTGACAGACTTGGACTCGGCTCATCTCCCAGGCACCGCTGCCTCGTGCCCCACATACACAGAAAACCAAACAGCAGAACCAAATTGTCCGTACCTTTAAAAACTCAAATCGTTCTCTATTTCTTTCAAATTCCAAGTCTTGATTCTTCTGTAAACTGTCTGCCCTGTCAGAGAGAAAAACCAAATGTATAAATTTTGAGGCTTCAAATGTTACTGGTCAAATGTACAGTGATGAATAAAAAAAACAGCAACTGCATCCACAGCTTGCTGGGCATTGCTAGGAGTTCATTTGTGACTATCACAATATGGAAAAGGAGAGGCAAGTAGTGAAAGTAAAAAGAATAATTATTGCTTGGTTCCAGTGATTCCTACAATGCCTTTAAACCTGATAAGCATAAAACATAAACAGAATTCAAGTTAAACTAATCATAAGGTCTGACTCTCAGAAACAGACTCAAGACATTTATATAACAGCAGGTTAGACATTTAAAGAACCCTTGTTTGTGTACCTATTTCTCATCTATGACGTTGTTATATAACAGCATCCCAAGTGGAGCCAGCAACACCAGGAGCTCAGCCATTTATAGAATCACCATCGCTTATCTGTTGAACGGGAAGGTGCCATCCATTACATCTGCACACCACAGGTTATATGCTGTAATTTACTCAAAGTCATTCAGTCTTTCAGGACAATTTGGGGCCTCAAGAAGATTTTTTAGGGTTTTTATAATCAAACTGCATTGTTTTAAGTCAAGGTAAATTAAGTCAAAACGTGGCAGGTTCAGCATACAGAAGGTACTTATAAATTGTACATCATAGGATTGAGTGACATAGGAAAGGACAGTAAAATTAATAGCTAAGACCTAAATCACACTTCATCAATTATGTAATTGTTAACACTGACATTACTAGGAACGAGCCACTATTCTAAATGCTTTAATTTTCTCATTTAGTCTCCATAATAACCCTTTGAGTTAGATATAACTAATATCCATATTTTCAAATGAGAAAACTGAGACACAGAGAGGTTAAGAAATTCGCTCATGACCACACAGTTAGTAAATGGTGGAACTGGAACTGAATCTCAGGCAGACTGACTCCAGAGTTGATACTCTTAATCCCTACACCATACAGTCTCCCTGAAGTGGTAGTTACAGAGACTGTTGCAGTAGCGGTGGCAGCAGTAATCACCACCATCACCACCACAAGAACAGCAGCAGCAGCTGAGGTGCAACACTATCTTACAGGCGCTCAGTGCTTTACACAGGTGAATTCATTCAGTCATTGTAACAATCCCTCATGTAGATACTACTGTTATCAATACACAGGAACAGCAGGTAAGGCACAGAAAAGTTAGATAACTTGTCCAAGGTCAGATGCCTGGTAAATTACGGAGCTGTCATCAGAACCCAGGCTGACTGGCCACGTCTCTGCCTTAACTACCATACTTTACTTCTCACCTACGCCTCCCTTCACTTATTATCTGCTGAGAACCTATCATGTGCCACATGCCAGGCATAAGCAGGAAAAAAAATAAAAAATTCATCAGAACCCAGGCTGACTGGCCACGTCTCTGCCTTAACTACCATACTTTACTTCTCACCCACGCCTCCCTTCACTTATTATCTGCTGAGAACCTATCAGGTGCCACATGCCAGGCATAAGCAGGAAAAAAAAAATAAAATAAGAAAGGGTGCAGAAGCTGCAAGTTCATGGCCACTTGGAGCTCAAATCCTGGTGAGAGATACAGAGAAGCAACCCGCAACTATGAAGGCGTGTGATCATCAGTGCCTGACATGGCAAGTCCAGAGTGCTGTGAGAGCACTCAGATAGGGTCATGAACTTGGACCAGGGGGTCCAGAATGCCTTCCAGAAGGAAATGACATCAGTGTAGTCTGGAGGATGAGAGGGAGTCAGCCAGAGAAAAACGGGCAGGCATTCCTTGGGAAGAAAAGGACTAGAGGCTCAAATTATTTATCTTGCAAAAAACACATTCAGTTACCACACTGATTTTTTTCTCTTTCTCTCTTGAAGTGAATATTCTCCAAGGTTTAAGTGTCATTTACTTTAATGGGATCAACTCCCAAGACTGCCTTAGAGCAGGGTTCTACAAACTATAGCCTGCGGGCCAAATCTGAACCAATGCCTGTATATGCTTGAGCAAAGAATGATTTCTAGATTTTTGAAGGCTGGCAGTGGTGGAGGGGATGGGGGAGAATATGTGACAGAGATAGTACATGGCCAGCAAACCCTAAAATATTTACTACCAATCCTTTACAGAAAAAGAGTGCTGATCCC